AAAACTAAAGTTTGTTTAAAGATGAAAGACTATGAAAAACTCTTGGAACAATATTTCTTGATTAGAAAACCTACAGAAACTTAATACTTCTTTGCCATCCTTTGGTTCCAAAATTTTGACAAAAAGTAGAAAATTTGGCTTACACCCCTTAAAAGATCAGCATTGTTTATTACTTCTATATCAAAAAACTAGATGATGCCAAATTGGCTATATTATGAAATGAATGAAATGATAACAACAAGTTCATATAGAGTTTTTAAAGGCCTTATACTTTTAGATAAAGTTATGAATTTAATAGGAAAAGTCAAGCAAAATGTTTTGAGATATACAACATGTTCCTTGTATATAATTTTTAGCCTTTAACACAAGTTATAGTACATCTTGTTATAGGTTTTTTGTCAAGAAACTTACACTTAATATTAGATTGCCTGGTTAGCAGGTTTCCTTTTTTTTAGCAATAGTTTCTTTTAGATTTTAGTTTAGATTTTTGCTCCTTAATATTAGTATCCATTTTTTTTGATATATTAGTTTTTATTATATACTTTTTTTTCATTCTTTATTATATCTTTTTTTTTCCTTTCCTATAAGAAAGTGTTATCAGTTTGGTAGCATTCTATTGTAGGATGGAAATCTTAACAGGATAGCATAACAGCCAGCTGAGAAATCTGAAAGAAATAAGTCTGGAGTAAGGTTTGGATCTCTGGAGGAGGCCAATTATTCACTAGACAGATTGCATTTAGGCAAAACACAGCAGTTTAATAGTTCACTCTGATTGCAAGTGGATGCTTTAGCACCTGTGAGATATGCTGTAGGTGAGTTTATCTTTTAGTCAAAATATTACAGTATAGATTTAGATTTCTTTATATGTTAATATAAGAATAAAAGTCTGTTTCTATAATAAAATAAACAGAATTGCTGAAGGAAAAAAATTAATTTTTTGTTTTTTATAATATTAAATTTTAAAAATAATATAGCTGGTTAGCTTTTTTATTTTTTTTTAACTAGTCTTTTTAGAACTAAGGTTTTTATTCAATTATTAAATAGAGAGGCTTATAACAGAACTTCCTATTATATTAAAGAGTATATTTAGCTACACATACACTTTTGGTATTTAATTTAAGTAGTTCATCTACTATTGTAGATTCTACACTATGTGCTATATCTGTAATTTAATTATGGGTATTATCCATTTAAACTTACTGTAATACAACCCACTTGTATCATCAATATATCTCTATTATATTTATTAGAACTACTTTATCCTCAAGACATTATTGCTAGAGCTTTCTATATCTACAATTGGCTAATCTAAACTTTAGTAACTTACAGCAAGTCCAAGAACAAATACTTGTAAGCTAAAGCTACTATTATTATCTACTTCTGCTCTTATAGAGTTTATTCAAATCCCAGTACCCACTTTACAGACTATTTACTGTGCTTCCAGTTTCTCTAAACTCCTAATTCAGATAGCTTAGAAAGACAATTACTTTTTTTGATTATCCAGTAGCCTGGTTAGTATAATGCTTTTGTCAAATACCTCAATTCTATTTAGTTTTTTTTAATTTTTTAGGTGATGATTCTTTATATAGTACTGTCAAAAGTTTATACTACCTCTCTATTCGAGCCTTGCAAAGCAAACTTTTGTATACTTCAAACCTCTGAATTTATCTAACTACTTCACTTAGATTTCATATAACTTATATATTACATTAATGTTCTACAGCCTCCTAGTACAAGCTGGTATAATTAAAGTTACAGATACTGATCTATTAAATTATATACAGTTTGTTGTAACACATTCTGTAAAATTCGAATTTTATCATTAGTGAGATTTGAACTCTTGTTTTGCTACTTGGAGTGCAACAATTTACCAACTTACTAAGTTAGTACATCTTGCCAACCAGCTTTTTCTTTTAAACTTTATATATAAAATTTTATAAAATTTTTAAAATATTTTTTTTAAAACCTACCAGACTATTAAACATATAAAAAATTTTTTTTAAAAGTTTTCAAAATTTAACCTGACTAGATTATAAGACACAATAATTAAATTTGTATAGCCTTTAATATCTTATTTTAATAAATTTTATTTTAAGTTTTAGGTTATTTTTATGCTGCTTTATTTACTGTATAATATTTATTTTAGAATTAAATTTGTTTTTTTTATATTGTATTTTTTGCTTTATCTGTATTATTTTTTTGAATATAATAAATATTTTTTACTGCTTATAAATTATTAATTATAATTTTCTTTTTATAAACTGTTTCTTTTACTATAAAATTATACAAATACATTTCTTAACTACTTGAATACTTAGTCAAGTATGATAACTTGTTATTCAAAAGATTAACATTATATTACAATAAATATATATTCTATATACTTGAAAACCAATAAAAAATATATTTATAGAGGTTATATATATAGTTGGACACAAATTTAAATATATATTTAAAGACAGTATGTACTTATAGATGGTGCATATACTATATACTTTTTTTCTAAAATTATCTTTTGTTATAAACTTTTTTACATTATATTAAAAGCCATAAATTTAAAACTAATATTTAAAAAAGAATTAGTAAATGATTTTTTTAAATAAATATTTTCTATTTTATAGTTTATTTCTTGATTTATATTTTAAACAAATTGTTTTATTAAAATCTGTAACATCATTTATATTTATAAATAAAATAGATATTTTAAAGGACTTCCTACAGTAACAATTATAATTTGCAATCAAAATAGGAATTTTCACTATTCGTGAACTCTGGCTTTTCAAAAAAAAAAACCACACAAAATCCGTTCACATCGACAACCGTATTGTTGATGATTTCACGAATATCTTTTATTTTTTTGATGAACTTGTAATTGATAAATCATTATTACAAGTTATGTAGAAATAACAATGACCATTCTTCACGACTATAAAAAATTTATTTTTATTAAATTACAAAACAAATCAAAACTTATGCTAAACAAACGGTCTATTTTTGTGAAGATAATTATATCTCCATGGTTTATGTCGATCACGCAATTCGTCAATTACACCCGGGGGTAATGGATAATCTTTTGAAACCGACCATGTCATTTCACTTGCAAGTTCTTTTGATGTGTCCCATGGTGATTCTAATAAATAAAGTACCAATTAATTTTAAACAAGAATTCACAAGTTAAACTAAATAAAAATATAAATATAAATTATAAACTAACTTTCTTGTTTATATTCTGACTTTTCTGGCCTTGGTGGGAAAGGGATAATGACATTATCAGTTCCACAAACTACACGTCGCCATCTCATCGTACCATTTCCATCAATACCAACTTTTTTCCATCTAGTTCTAACACGCCTCCTAATATATAATTACGTCATGAATGCCTCAATTTCTGATAAAATAGTTTTTTCTTTTTTTAAAAAAAAAAAAGCAACATACTTATCTTTGTCTGGAATGGAATCGCTACAAAAGAGAATTTCTCGTATTCTATATATAGCAACATCATAAGATCCAATGTATATAACATGAATACTTACTCCTTCAAATCATCTGGATATATATGCATAACGTTTGATACGTGAATCGCCTTCAGAGTTGGTCGTAGCCACCATCCACCCTTGTTGTCAGATTGATCAGAAGCATTTGAAATCTCATTCGGCGAAGTTTTTCTGCCCTAGTTATTTATATAAGGTATTATCAAATAACAAAATAGAAAGGAAGGAAGGAAATAAAGTATGGAAACAAATTTTGATAGCATTACCACTTTTACACCATCAACCCAAACTCTATTTGTAAACATATCGACCGTCTTAACCTTCCCAATTTGATGTTTAGCATCACCTGCGATGACTTTGACCTATATTTCATTATATTCAACAATCCCTTAAATGGCATTACTGATAAACTTGTTTAATTACCGTATCGCCTTCAACAATTTCACACGCCCAATAGACGGCGATATATTTTGTCTTCTAAGCAAAGTCCACGAGAAGTGAGATCTTTTTGAGAT